ATACAAAATAATTAAAATTTTATGTAATCACCAAAAAAAAAAAAAAAGATCTAAAAGTTTCTTCTTTCCATTCTTTATTAAAAAAAAAGTTGCTGTGGAGTCAATTCCAACTCATGGCGACTCCGTGTGTGTCAGAGTGAGTAGAAATGTGCTCCAACATGATTTTCAAGAGTTGTTTTTTCAGAAGTAGATCATCAGGCCTTTTTCCAAAGCCTCTGGGTAGATTTGAACATTTTTTCAGTCAGCAGCTGAACATGTAACCATTTGCACCACCCAGACTTCCTTGTAGCTGCAACAAAGATAATTTTTCACAGATGTTCTACATAATTTTAAAAATTTTCCTCCTCTTAAAATTCTGAGGTGACATAGTTAACATTCTACTTTTAAGTTTCTCACACAAATGTGAAGAATTCTCAAAGGGTTTTTCCTCAAAGATCTAAATGGAATTAAATAAAAATTAAGGGGAAATAAATGCTACATAAAATATCAACTCCTAGCACAGTCCTGGCATGCAGTAGGTGCTCAATGAACATGGAAGATCCCTAAATGAGAGGGAGCAGGTTGTACCAGAAAGAGCAGGGAGTGACATTAACTTAGATGTCACTTTTCTTCTGTGAGTCTCTCTACTCCTCTGTAAAATGAAGGGCATGCTCCTATTACTTGAAACCCTAGTATTAAATAATTTTCTGCTGGCCCTGCAATGCTGAATCAAGCACATTTATATAGTTTTTCTTGAGAAAGGAACAGATTTCTTTGAAATAGTCCAATAGCAGAACTATAGGAAGAGGGAAATATTCTGCTTACTCAACATAGCCATTGATATAAAAATAGAAAAGTCTTAGAAAACACTAAAACTTAATAAAGTATTTAAAGTGCCTAAGTAAAAATAATATGTCAAAACTGTGAAAGCAAAAAATAAACTTCCTTTGATATCTGACCGCCCCAGAAAAGGGTGATGGATTATGCATTTGTTTGTTTGGAATTCCATTTATATTCTATTCAGTGCTATAAGATTTAGAACATCATGAAAATGTTGAAGTGCTTAGGGAAGAAAAAGAAATGAGATAATAAAGTTAATCCTTGGATATAAATGAAAAAAAAATTAAAAGGAAGTTAAATCTCAGAATACAATGAAAACAGACACTTTCCAAGGGAAAATAAAGAAGTGTGTCATGCAGGTAACTTCAAGTCTAATAAATAGAGATAAGTTTATAGTAGATTTGCCACATTGCTGAAGCATAAAACTAAAGAAATACCAGAGCCTCGCTATGTAGATTTAAATATATAATTGCTTCAGAGTCCAACTGAGTTTAAACTATAATTGTTTAAGACCCTCTTGTAAGCAAAGTTTTGCAAAACCTCAAATGTATTTAGAAAAAAATTGCTACGCTCAGCTGTGGCTAGGGAAACAACCGAAAAACATTTAATAGGATTTCTCAAGTGACAAGAAAATATTTAACTACAGTTTATTCTAATTTAAACCAGCATCCAGTTAAGTCCAAATTTTTCACAGTTCTTTATTTGAGCATTAAAACCAATTTTTATTAAAAATTTCAAAAGTATTCATTTGCATTTTAAGTATTTTCAGCTGGTGTATTATCTGTACTGCATCTATCATTCAATGTAGCACAACCAGGTGGTCCCACAGGCTTAATGAGGATTTGATTATGAGCCAGGAAAATAAATTGTAATTGAAATATCTTTATTCTGGATACCTATCTTTTTACTTGTTAAAGATGCTACCATTTAGCAAAGACTGCATCTCTATAACTAACAGAGAGACCAGGTTGAAATAGCAGGGTGTATTAGCACCAGCCGGAGGTCCCTGGATGGTTCAAAAGGCTTTGGCTCAACTACTAACCTAAAGGTTGGCAGTTTGAAACCACTCAGCAGCTTCACGGAAGAAGGTCCTGACGATCTGCTTCCATAAAGATTATATCAAAGAAAACCCTATGGAGCAGTTCTACTCTGTAAGACATGGGGTCTCCACTAGTCAGAATTGACTCGACGATGGATTTGGTTTGGTTATCAGCAACAACTATTGAAACTGGACAGAGCTGTGTTGAAATAACATAAATCAAACAGTTACAGAGATTATACTCTGAGGTGGCTTTGCTAAGAAACGAGCAGGCTACACTCAAACATTTCTAGATGTTTTGCTGTCTTAGGCTGGGTTCTCCAGAGAAGCAAAACTGGTAAGTATACACAGAGGGAGATTTATATCATGAAATGGCTCATGCAGTTGGAAAGGATGGAACGTCCCAGGTCCATGGGTTAGGATAGAGGCTTCTCGTGATTCAAGTAGCTGCAGGGGCTGGAGAACTCATGATTGGCAGGCCAGAGAGCCAGGCTCTTGCTCACAGGCTTAGAAGATCAATGAATCCCAAGATCAGCAGGCAAGACCACAGGCAAGCTGATAGCTCAAGTCCCAAGAACCAGAGGTCAGACAAACAGAAGCCAGCTGCAGGATCCAGAGAAGGCAAAAGCCATATGCCCAAGGAAACTCCCTTTCAACTGATTGGCTACTCACAGAAGATCCCATCATGGAGGTGATCACATTATATCAAATTTCATCATGGAAGTGATCACCACATCATATGACTACCAAACTACATCATAACTGCCAAACCTCTGAGAATCATGGCCCAGCCAAGGTGACACACAACCTTAACCATCACAGTTGCTATGCCATTGACTAACTTTTTAAGATAGCTTTGATGGAGAGAGGTTATAAAAGGAAAGAGAAAGAGATTGTTTTCAACTGATGTTTGGTAAAGTAGAGCTACTGTAGGCAAATATGACATATGTTTAATAAAATTGCTATTTTGCCAAAATGACTGGTCACCCTAGGAAGTAATCATCTTTGAATTAGACTAGAAAAATAATTGACCAGCTGTTATCATTTAGATAAATTTTAACTGAAGAAATATTCTGAGGGAAACATTGGTAACCCAATGACCTTCCATTCTCCCCTAACCTGTATAATAGAAAATATTTCTCTTTTTGGCTCACTATGATCCCCAACTGCTTTATAAGAAAGTGAAGCCTACTTTGTTCTACTGAGCACCTTAATAAGTTTAGATACGCCAGTTTAGATACTTAATAAATTTAGATACTCCAAAAATTGGAGGAAAATAATTTTGAACTCCATTGTCGACATGGGGATAAAATACATAGAGGCAGATAATATAGGATTATACAAATGAAACCCAACCCATTGCCATGGAGTTGAATCCGATTCATAGCGACTCTATAGGACAGAGTAGAACTGCCCCACAGGGTTTCCAAGCAGCAGCTGGTAGATTCAAACTGCCAGACTTTTTGGTTAGCATCCAAGCTCTTAAGCACTGGGCCACCAGGGCGTCATATGAATGAAAGCCTTTGAAATCATGGGCAAGCTTTAGACCCTCAAAGCCATGGATTCGGCAAAGTTCTTATTAAACAACATTTAGATACCTGGGGATATGAGAGGCCTTATCTGATATCTAGTTTACAAATGATAATAAATAATGGAGTATGTTTGTTGTTGTTAGTTGCCAACTCATGGTGACAACAGAAAGAAATGTCTCCTGGTCCTGTGCCACCTTCGTGATCATTGGTATGCTTGAGTCCATTGTGGCCACTGTGTATTTTGAGTGCTTTCCAAGCTAGGAGGCTCAACTTTCAGCACTATATTGGACAATATTCTATTCTGATACATAGGGTTTTCATTGACTAATTTTCAGAAGTAGATCACCAGGCCTTTCTTCCTAGTTGTCTTAGTCTGGGAGGTCTGCTGAAACTTGTCCACCATAGATGACCCTACTGGTATTTTAAAATACTGGTGGCATAGCTTCCAGCATCATATCAACATAAAGCTACCACAGTATGACAAACTGACAGACAGGTGGTGGAATACAGCATATAGGGGTCTGAATACGGAAATTAAAATTGCTAACACTGAACAAGGTCAACTAGAGTTTATGATGGGCCTAAAAGAACTCTCTGAAGTTATTTTGGGCATTGCCCTGACTGCAAGCTGGACACATTCAAGCCATCACAAGCATGCAACATTCCTCCATATCCTTTCTTATACAAACAGAGTCCACTTGTTCCCAGAAATATTCCCAGTTCTAGACAATATTTACTGGAGGCTTTAAGTAACTGAATGACTCCCTAGTGATTACAGACCCACCTGCCATCTAAAATCAAAAGGACTTGTCAGATTTAATGAATTAATCCATTTTCCTAAGAAATATTTTAATAATTAAGAAAAAACATTAATAATAGAAAATATTGCTTAAAGTACAGCTAATATGTTTCAGTCAAGGAAGCAGCAATTACATCAAGACTTTCAAATATCTTTTTCCTTTACCTAAAGTATTTCAACTTTGGTTTCTCTTAGAGAGAAGAAATATTTTATGAAAATATACTGGCCAGAAAGTCACTGGTTAGAGTCATTTGCAGTTCATCAGCAGAGAATCACTGTGAGCAGAAATGGGTCTGCCAAGATTTACTAGATCCAAATGGCAGAGGGGCAGCACAGGCAACTGAGTACATCATGAAAATATAGCAACTCTCAGGGTTGGAAGTGGCTTTAAAAGTGAGGAGACAACACCAGAATAGGAGCCTAAATTTACTTCAAAAAATATAATGTCATTTAGCCATCACAGTTAGTTCATTCTTTTTTTTTTTTTTTGCTTTACTGTTTTAATTACTAGAGATACCCAATTACCAAGCACCCATCCCTCATGACAGCACCAAACCTGTATCAGTTTCCTATTGCTTTGCTGTAACAAATGACAAACAGTGGATTCAAACACAGTTATTATCTTACAGTTCTGTAAGTTAGAAAGCCAACATAGATCTCACTAAGATCTAGGTGTTGACAGGGCTGTGTTTTGCTTTCTGGAGATTCTGTGGGGGAATTCATTTCCTTGCCTTTTCCACTTCTAGGCACCGGTTGATTCTGACTTACAGTGACCCCATGTGTGTCAAAGAAGAATTGTGCTCCATAGGGTTTTCAACAGTTGATTTTTTGGAAGTAGATCACCCCACCTTTCTTCCAAGGCACGCCTGGGTGGACTCAAGTCTCCAACCTTTTGGTTATCAGCCAAGCGTGACAGGAACTTCACTTCTAGAGACCATCCATATTCCTTGGCTCATGACCCCTTCCTCAATCTTCAAAGCCATCAATATCACTCTTCCATCTCTCTGGTTCTCTCTTCTGATTCTTTCTTCCACTTTTAAGGATTCTTGTGATTACATTGGACTCACCTGAATAATCCAGGATTAGTTCATCCTTTCTTAATCTTTATACTTTCTCTGGTGAACTAAATAACATGTAGGCAAAGTAAAAAATAAAAGGAGAGAAAATAAATTAATAGATAATCTGTGAACTCTGTACATATCTGTTGAATAATGCATCATTTACCATAATAGAAATAATCAATTTGCTGGTTTTTAAAATGCTAGTTATTTTTTAAATCAAAACCAGAGACATAAGTGCTACATCAAAAACAATACACAAAAGTGTCTTAGCCTCCAAACTTCTCTTTCATTCACCAAAGATTTAAAAAAAAATCACAAAGTTTGTATTTTGGGTATAAAAATGTACATTATACTACATCCTAATAATGATCTATTTTAACTGATATTTGGAAAGGAACAATCTCACTCTTTTATTTATTTGCACATCACTAGGAAATGCCATATTCTGACTGAATGCTAATATATATTTTTATGTCAGCATTTTCTTCCTGTGGATTTTGCAGACCACACACGACAGAGTAAAAAAAATTATTGTCTAGAAACACCTTGCAGCAACTGTCCATCCAGATGAACTCGTTAACTTTAGTTGTCAGCAAAACACTAATAAAAACCAAAGCAATTATGGAATGGGAAAGCTGATCAAGATGAAAATAGAAAGAAGATAATTAGTCCATTTTTCAAATGACTCCAAGCAGATAAATGTAGTTTACAATGCCACCTCCCCATCCATCTGGGGTTAGGTCAGGGCTTCAAACTGGTTCATTCCTGTACGGACCCCTGCTGATAATTTGCATTTCTAACTAGTTCCTAGGAAGTTATACATAAGAATCACCTGGATATCCTGTTAAAATGTAGATTCTGATTCAGTATATCTGGGATGGAAATACAAATTCTCAGCAGGGAACTTGTTAGAAATGCAAATTCTCAGTAGGGGTATGTACAGGAATGAACCAGTTTGAAGCCCTGGTTTAGATTCTAGACTTTAGCTCATTGCTCTGTGTCATTCATGTAGGAATTCACCCTGAAGATTAAGACTGAGGATGAAGCATGACTCACACAGGTGTTTCCAATGAAATCAACAAGCACCAGTTAAAAATGGTGGCCATAAGAAAATGTACTAATGGTCTATTTAATTCATTTAGAAAGTTATTCTTAGATTACAATAACATGATTTTATAGAAATATGTTTATTTATTGCAGAAAGTGCTTCATCTCACATGCTTAAAACTACTTAATTATCCTGAATTTTGTTGATGCTGATCCTATTATCCTATCCTTGATTGCACATGTTAGACTGATTCATTTCCAATTGGTTGTGTTTGTCATCTCTCCTGGAAAAGTCATCTTTGGAGGTTAGTGATTCTGTTTGCTTTTGGGGAATGGTTTATCTTTTTCTTTGTGTTTGTTTTGGTTTAGTTTTAATTTTGTTTACATCTGCCTTTGACTTACTTTATAACGCTTGGGGTTTTGGGTATGGTATGGATTTGCATCTTTAAAATTCAGTGTACTTTGTGATAAAGTCTATGAAGTAGCAACAAAAAGTCAAGGAGAGCAAATTAAGAAGCAAACTGCCTTTTCAAAAAAAATTCTGTAGAAGAGTGGTTCACTTTCATATAAATAAACGGCCTCTAAGACTGACCCAGGGGAGAAATTATTGTTTTTTTTTAATTTTTTTATTGTACTTTATATGAAGGTTTACAGAACAAATAGTTTCTCATTAAACAGTCAGTACACATATTGTTTAATCACATTGGTTAAGAACCCCACAACGTGTCAACACTCTCCCTTCTTGACCTTGAGGACTTTTTTTTTTGGTGAAAATATACATAGCCAAAGTTACACCATTATGAAAGTTTCTACATGTACAATTCGGTGACATCGATTACATTCTTCCAGCTGTCCTGCTATTCTCTCTATCCTTTTCCAAATTATTCTATCATCATTATCTTCAACTCACTGTCTCCTAGGCTTCCCATCAAACCTTTTGAGTTGCTGTTGTCAGTTTGATCTCACATAGATAATTCTTTTTTTTTTTTGTACCTTACATGAAGGTTTGCAGATCATAGTTTCTCATTAAACAGTACACATATTGCCCTATGACATTGCTTAACAACTCCATGACATGTCAACACTGTCCCTTCTCAACCTTGGGTTCCCTATCACCAGCTTTCCTGTCCCCTCCTGCCTTCTAGTCCTTGTCCCTGGACTGTTGTGCCTCATTAGTCCTGTTTTGTTTTATGAGGCTGTTCAATCCCCGGCTGAGGTGAACTTCAGGAGGGGTTTCATCACTGAACTAAAAGGGTGTCCGGGGGCCATACTCTAGCGGTTTCTCTAGTCTGTCTGGCCAGTAAATCTGGTCTTTTTTTTTTTTTTGTGAGTTAGAATTCTGTTCTACATCCTTTTCCAGTTCTGTCCAGGAGCCTCTATTGTGACCCTGGTCAGAGCAGTCAGTGGTGGTAGCCGGGCACCATCTAGCTGTGCTGCATTCAGCCTGGTGGAGGTGGTGGTAGCTGTAGTCCATTAGTCCTTTGGACTAATCTTTTCCCTGTATCCTGTTCTCTTCGTTCTCCCTCGCTCTCGAAGGGGTAAGACCAGTGGAGTATCTTAGATGGCTGCTCACAGGCTTTTAAGACCCCAGACTCTACTCACCAAGGTAGAATGTAGAACATTGTCTTTATAAACTGTGTTATGCCAGTTGAGCTAGATGTTCCCTGAGACCATGGTCCACACAGCCCTCTGCCCACCAATTCAGTCCCTCAGGGAGTTTGGAAGTATCTATGGAGCTTCCATGACCTTGAGAAATTATTGTTTTGTCCAGAGGTGTGTAATTGTCAGGAAAGACTCAAACTCAATTATTTTCAATCTTGCCTTAGTTCAGCAAATCATTTATAATCAACAAACATTTCTTGGATTCTGAAATATTAGACTCTAGAATACATAGAAGATACAGCCCTTAACTTAAAGAGTATATCCTCTAGTTCAGGAGACAGAACATCAAGGAAAACAATAGACACATAGTACGTAATGTAATGAAAAGCCCTGGGGTTAGTGCCAGAAGGATGACTCTAAGTAAAATCCCTTTATCTTTCCATTCTTGTTTATATCTGCAAAATAAAAACATTTATGTTTGTCCTGCCTTCCTACATGGATATCTTAAGGATCAAGTCAAAGAATGTGAAAGACTTAGATAAATTAAGTGGTAATTATTAAGTTTAAAAATCAATAATAATCAATATTTGACTATTTTATGTCAAGTGTGACAAGGCCAAAAACTCCATATTGACCTTCTTTTGTTGTCCTTGCCACACTTCTACAAAAATTAGGAAATACAATCCTAATAGTTGGCAAGTAAGACCTATTTCTTGGTACTTTTTCCCCAGCAATGTCAACTAATATGACACACCTCTCAACGATGCAGACAATTCTTTGTTACTACTAACACCAGACCCTGAAGATTCTTATGCCACTGAGGCTCTTTGGGTAATCTTGGAAAATCATAAGATAGAGACAATCTCGAGGATTCTGAGCCCCACAGGGATACATTGTTCTGGTTGACATAATGATTTGTTCAACTCTCAAAATTTTTAATTTTTTTCCCAAATTTTTAATTTTTTTCCCACTCCCATCTTGAGGAGTCAGTTAAGCATTTAGATTAATGCTAACATGGGGTTAGAAAGTCTCTACAACTTCTAGCAATATCTGAAATAGCAGAACCAACTGAGACAATGAAATCATAGAATATTCCCAGCACCTATTTCAATGCAGACTTGATCTTTGAGAAAGACTTGAGGATTCATTGGAATTCAGCCTTGTGTTCTATTAGTGCCTTCACACTGGCTATCATTGTGTCTGTTGTTGTTAGGTGTCATCCAGTCAGTTCTGACCCATAGCAACCCTATGTACAACAGAACAAAACACTGTCTGGTCCTGTGCCATCCTCAACAATAGTTGCTATGTTTCAGCCCATTGTTGCAGCCACTGTGTCAATCCATCTCATTGAGGGTCTTCCTCTTTTTTGTTGACCCATGCTTTACCAAGTATGATGTCCTTCTCCAGGGACTGGCCCCTCCTGATAACATGTCCAAAGTATGTGAGACATAGTCTCACCATCCTCGATTCCAAGGACCATTCTGGCTGCACTTCCAAGACAGATTTGCTCATTCTTTTGCCAGTTCATGGTATAGTCAATACTCTTCACCAACACCATAATTTAAAGGCACCAATTCTTCTTTGGTCTTTTTTATACATTGTCCAGCTTTCACATGCATATGAGGTGATTGAAAATACCATGACTTGGGTCAGGAGTATCTTGGTTCTCAAAGTGACATCTTTGCTTTTTAACACTTTGAAGAGGTCTTCTGCAGCAGATTGGCCCAATTCAATGTGTCGTTTGATTTCTTGGCTGCTGCTTTGTGGGCATTGACTGTGATTCAAGTAAAAGCAAATGTAGCAGTAGACAAAAGAAGCAGTAGTCAAAGAACTGGACTGATACCATCTTCTCTACGTGCCATCACACTGCTGTCAAGTGTATTCCTACTTATAGCAACCTCACAGGGTTTCCAAGGCTGTAAATCTCTATGGAAGCAGACTGCCACATCTTTCTCCTGAGGAGCCGCTGGTGGTTTTGAACTGCTGACCTTTCAGTTAGCAGTTGATCACTTTAACCACTGTGCCATCGGGCTCCTCTACATGCAATAGATGCTGTCAATTGTCTACACAGCACACATTCCCCTTCCAACATTCGTAAAAGATGCTGGATAGTTTTCGGAATCTACCTCTCCCCCCAGAAGCAGCTGACTCTGTAGAAGTGGTGTCTGATTAGTATAAGCAGAATCTCACTTATTTTGTTAGTGATTGGCTCAGAAATAGGCTTGTGAACTGCAAATAGAATAGCCTCCCTTGTTCTTCTGGATATTGTCATGCCTGGAAACTGCTAAGACATTGTTACCATCTACGCATGAAGCCAGCGCTAATCATTGTGGATCACAGATGGAAAGAATCTGAGTCTTTATGACATGGTTGAGCTGTGAACTCAGTCACCCGTTAGGTCTGCTCCACCACT